CTACCGGATGGTAGCCTAGTAATATAAGGCTAGGTTACGTACCGTACGTAACTACCGAAAAAGGAAAGAGACGATATAGTAATATATTAGTATAGTCTATATTAATATATTAATATATCATTCCTAGTTACCTATTTAGGATACACCTTATAAGTATATAGCTACGCTTATTCCCCTTTTATAGTTATACTCTCTCGTAGCTAACTTATAATATCTACTTTACTATACTATTCTAAAGTTACTTAACTACTTATACCTTACGTACTCTCGACCTAGCTTATATAATAAAGGAACTATAACTAAGGAAGCCTAATTCCGTTAGGCTATATAGGAAGTAGCTCTAATACGCCCCTAGAGGAGGGGGACCCCGTCTACCTTTTACGAAAAAACATTAAGATAAAGTAACTAAGTATAAAACTAGACTACGTTAAGCTAGGACCGTTTAGAATTAAGGAAAAAATAAGGAAGGTTAACTATTAGCTAGAACTTCCTTAAGATATAAGAATTTATAGTATATTCTATATTTTATTACTTAAACTAGTATTAAAGAACGCTAAACTAGTTTAATCGCTACCTCTAGATAAAGAAGTTACTATAGAAGAGTATAACGTAGAAAAAGTACTAAAAAGACGCGTTAGACGTAGTACTCTTTAGTACTTAATTAAGTAGTTAAGATATAACGAGTTAAAGAATAGTTAAAAACTAGAGACTTACCTTACGGAGGAAACTCTAAAAGAGGCTTAAAGATAATACCTTAAGTAGTTTTACTAGATAATATAGCTTCCTAATTAACCTATTTAACGCTTAAAGCGTCGGACTAAGTAAAGTTAAGTTTAGGTAGAGTTACCTCTTCGAAGTTAGGTAACTTATTAAAGATACTTAACGCCTATATCTTACGACGTAATATACGACTCGAAACCTCCTCTAATCGCTTAAGCTCGCCCTAGAAGGATACGTCCTCTTCCTCGACTTCCGTAATTAACCTACGAAGGTAAGCGATTTCCTTTCGCTTCGCCCGCGACTTTATAACTAATTATTTCTTTTATTTCCCTACTTTTTAGAATTCTTCCATCGAAAAAGTACCGTTATATTTTCGCTATTTTCGGAGACATTCGGTATAAGAAGACGACTATTCGCGGTCGTAGTAATAGATAACTCCGTAGTTAACGTACTTAATATAGGCTACTATTACGATATTCTCTAAATCGGTAGAAATAGAGTCGGCGAGTTTAATACGACGCTTACTTTAAGTTTTTATCGACTTTATAGATCGACGAGGTTTAACTATACGAAAGGACTATATAATTAGCTATAGGAAGAAGGAAAGGACGAGAGACGACGAAGGGTAGGCGCGGCCTACCTTAAGTACGTTAAGGATAACGAATAGGAAGGAGGGGAGATAGTATTAGAAACGGCCTTTATATAACCTAGAGCGTAAGGCGCCCGAAGGTAGGTCTACTAGATAGTAGTCTAGTAATATAAGGCTAGATTACGTACCGTACGTAACTACCGAAAAAGGAAAGAGACGATATAGTAATATATTAGTATAGTCTATATTAATATATTAATATACTATTTCTAGTTATCTATTTAGGATATACCTTATAAGTATATAGCTACGCTTATTCCTCTTTTATAGTTATACTCTCTCGTAGCTAACTTATAACATCTACTTTACTATACTATTCTAAAGTTACTCGACTACTTATACCTTACGTACTCTCGACTTAGCTTATATAATAAAGGAACTATAACTAAGGAAGCCTAACTCTATTAGGCTAAATAGGAAGTAGCTCTGACATCTACCTTCCTCGCCTACCTAGTATAATAGAGGTCTCGTCGCTCTAAATCACGTTCTTCCAATCCTCAAGAGTCCAGTCCTTATGACGTAGATAGAACTGTAATCGAACTGAACGCTGGGCCTTCGAAAGGCTAGGTTTTCTCGTTAGTTTGACATTCTTAATGCCATTCTTATGTAGAACGCGAAGAGTAGAGGACGTACTAATACCTGATTCATAGGCTAGAACGTCGCTGGATTTCTCTCTACCTGATCTGTCCTTTTTAACGATCGCTAGAACACGCTGTTCGACCTCTTCAGTTATCTCTCTCGGCCTTCCTAACCTCACGCCATCCTCAATATAATGATCGAGGATTCGAGGATCCTCCTGCGGACGATAACCACGCTCTTTTGCCTTTTGAAGAATCCTCCTCGCCTGCCTAGCTGGGACTTTAATCCAGTTCTTAACTTGTTGTGGCGAATATCCGAGCGATAATAACGTGAGTGTCTGCACTCGTTGCGCCGGCGAGTAGCGAATACCAGTGTGGCCAGTAGCCTGTTCCTCAGGAAGAGGCCTCTGCGCCCGTAGGTTCTGAGGTATTCGCGGCCGCTCAGATTCGCGTTTACGGGCTTGTTCTGCATATAAATCAGTTAATGGCATGGTCAAATGTATGAGAATTACCTACGGACGTACCTTCCTGAGCCTTCTTCTCTTCCTAATATACTATTACTGACGATTGCGCAGGCATTAGTGGCGATGTGATTGTTGAGAAAGATGCAAGAAAACGTACTAGGAGACTTCTGTTTACTATACAAGATTGGCTGCGGGGTGAAAACCTAGTCCTACAATGGCCTAGACTTGTTTCCTAGTCTACATGCTAAAAACTAGCGCGGTCAACACTTTTGGTGCGCGCCCTCGTATTTACTCGGTGCTTAGTGGCTATCTGTAGACTAGCGCGCGAAGCGTCACTAAGTTAACAACGGAGTGGAGTCTATCAAGATTCTGAAATACTCGTAGGGTGGATATGGGCTTGATGTTCGTGGATGAGGTGTTGACAGAATTGCAAGAAGAACCGGTCTCTGCCTAGCTCTTGGAACCTAGCCTGCCAAGGTGGGAAAGGTGGCCAACTCGGCTAACTTTCTATTCGTGACGTGCCTTTTGTCAACAACGTTTGCCTGCAGTGCCTTCAGGAGAATCTTACACCGATGTAAAGATGGAACCCCCATTTTACCCTGTAAGACCCGTTTTCCTACCCTCTCCGCTGTTCGAGAAACAAGAGTGACAGCTTCCTTGAAAGTGGTCAGACCTAACAAGGAGTAGACACCAAAGACCCGAGGAGACCGATCTTCTCATGGCTGCCAATGCTGAGACTGCATAGATGTCGGCTGCAACCATTGGCTTCTCTCGAAATCGAGTTTCACTGGTTCCTGCCCTGTGGAATAATTGTATTCCACATAAACTTCGAACAGTTTCGTGTGAGCGCTACCGTATTCGTAGGGCGACTTAAAGTCTTGTGATCTTCCATCTTCGGTCTCAAGCCTGCTGTCAGTATGCCACACGTATGCAATTGCTGATCACCAAGCAACTCCCCAGGTAATAGAAGAAGTATTTCGTTCAAAAACAGGAAGCAGGAAGCGAGTGATTGGTCCTTCTTGTCAGCGGTTCTCTGTTATCTATACCGGCTTAAGAATGACTTGTCCAGTTTCACAGCCCAGCCAGAGAGCTCAGGCTGTTAACTGACTTTCTGAGCTGCAAGGGAGACGGACATCTAAGGGCGGTGTAGCTAAATGTCACACCCTGGTTACTGTGCCACAGTCGGCTCGCCTGAAGGGGTCCCCACCTTATGGACCACATTTTCTTGTGCCTGGCGTCCCTAGTTTGCCTGCGCAGAGTCCGACAGGGAAGTCTTGGTCGCTATCTTCTCTCTGCACACCACAGTCGTCTATTGCGAATCGCTGAGTATGTCGTGGGATATAGCAGATTATGTCTATATGGATGGCACTGCCGTAAACTTCTATAAGGCGTCGATAATATCTAAGTCTTTACTATATTACTGTCACGAACAGCTACTATAGGCGCCCTACAAAGCCCTCCCGATTCTAGAGGGCTCTGTACCCCCTCGGTGCCCTACGAACCCCTCCTGAATCAGGAGGGTGTTAGAAACGGCCTTCATATGACCTGGAGCGCGGGGCGCCCGGAGGTAGGTCTGCCGGGGTGGTAGCCTAGCGGTATAAAGGCTAGGTCACTGTCACGAACACCCACGTGACACTGGACACTCCACGTGACATCAACCAAGGAGTCAGGCCGCCAGCCAAGTAGCTGGCTTACCGCATGTATATAGCAAGAGGGGTCATACCTGTCAACCTTGAAGCCTTCTTCAAGCGTTGACATCTCTATCTATAGGCTAGTTATCTATCATTATTGATCCCATAGTACACACATTCACCCTCCAGTTAGGTAACGGGCCTGATAATAAGGCTATCATAGATAAGGCTAACTACGTAAGGCTATCAGAGCGTAAGGCTGTCGGCACATGACACCTCGGGTAAAGTGCTGACATACGTAATAGTGTGGGCGGGGAAGCTATAGGATATAAACCCTAGCGATTTAGGAGGGGTCTGTTTCTTCTCCTTTCTAAGCGTTGAGTCGTTGTCAATAGGAACTACAGTTAGGTAATCGCATACAGTTCTCCAATCGTCAGTGCCTACTGTACAGCGTAGGTCCTGATAAGCTACCTTATTAATTCAAAAGTTATAGCGATGTGAAAGTCAGGGATTTTGGTGGGAAATGGGGGGTGGACGGATTATTTTCGCTAGGGTGGTGTACAATGGGTCCTGCAGTAATTGTTCCAGCCTCTACTTAGCGCTAGAAATGGAATGTTAGCCGATGACAACGGCCCCTTTAGCGATAGGTAACTGCCAGCAGCACACGGCAGAAGATCATAGAATCAGAGGCGAGACAACCTCAGGTACTCGTGGTTTCTTCTCTGGCAGTCATAGTCAAACGGATCCCCACCCGATTCCGTTTTTCTCCCTCAAATCCCCCCTGTCCCGAGCGGGCTCCAGTTGGCACGTGTCCGTCACATGGAAATGTTGGCGTAACAGGGGGGCTACGGCACTAAATTTCCCCCACAGAATAGATTCGAACCGAGTCATCCTGTGCGACATACTCGCACGACCGTTCATGGCCATCCAGTTCCCCTTCACGGAAGAAGCGCGACCTTCAGAATCCCGCGACCTTAAGTTCAAGGTGCTTGCACATTTTCTTGGAACTTCGGTGCTTTGCAAGCTTTTTGTTCCCCGCCTTTGCAGTAAAAGTCTTGCCACGATACTTTACTTCAGACCCGAATTTGGGGGGATACCCTCGAAGAGTCAAGTCTTTGTAGACAGGAGCAACGCTCTTGCCCGCGAATTTCTCCTGCAGCGCTTTCGTGTATCTCCAGATTTCGACTTCAGAGTCAGTCGAATCCGAGTCACCCGATGATTCTTCCTGGATTGCCACGCCCGATTGAATCGGATTTGTGCCGTTACTTTCGCTGCTCGACCTTGAGCCATATGAGCCCACATTGCCGACAATAGCATGCTCGAGTATTTGTTGTTCATGAAGTGTTCCCCGCCTACGGATGGCGCCAATCCAACCCAGGGACACTTTCCTGAACTTGATATGTCCTTGGAAGTGGCCCGCTTCAGATGACTGGTATTGGCGAACTCCATCCCTCCGCAATTGGCGGCAGAGATCGTCGTGCCGAAAAGCCGCACTTTCTTGGAGGAGAGAGTCCTACGGGATTTGAGTTATTGATGAAATAGCGCCGCAGGATGCGAGTAATACCTTTAAGGAGGTGATATCCTCGGAACTAGGTGTCTTTCGAAGTAAAAGAAGAGCTAGAGTAGCTTCTAAATGTAGTTCTCCGATCCACTCGTCCTTTTCTCCGGTTTCATCTGCGTGGAGTAACGATGCGTTCCCGACAGCGTTGTCTGCTGGAAGCTCGGAAGCCGCCAATGCCATATCAGCTCTGTAATCGGGTTGACTGGATGGAGGAGAACTATCAGACACAGCTTCGGTCGAGACTTGAGATCTCCTGAGAAGACATAATTTACGAAACGTCGGAGCCATGAGAAGAACTGAAAAAATTCTCTCTTGCCATACCATGGTGAACGCTGGGGCTCCAGGATTTTATGCCATTCTGGCCGCATGGTCCAGCTGAAAATCTGCTGGCGTCCTCGCCCGAAATCCCGAATCGGCGCAGCGCCCTGCATCATTGAGAATGTGCCTTTCTAGACAATGATTCGCACACCAGCGTAATCGTTCAGGGTTGCTGTACATCCATGAGGAGCTAAGGAAGAAGAGCAAAAAACCTAGGAGACAAATACAACTCTGAGATGTTTTTGCCCCGAGTACTCATGCGGCCACGGAGGGTACTAGGCTCGGAGAACCAGTCCTCCATTGTGCTTTCTTGACCGGTCTGGAAACCAGCTGGAGCCGCACTAATCAGGTGATGATTCAACCCTACTTTCCATGGCGGCTGTGCATTTAGCGGCCTGCAGCAGGAGATCGAAGCATCACAACTATCAACAGGACAATGTCAACAGTTGGCGCCCAGCCGCAACCGACTGCTGCCCGACAAGCCACTTCATGGTCGTAAGGGCCTTTTCGATCACGCTGTTGTTCGATGCGAATCAGTCAGGAGAACTCATGGCCGATTCCCTTATCCAACAAAAAGACGAAGCTGTCATCACGGCTTCCGGTCTGTGGAGATCGAGCGAGCTGGAAGGGCTACTGTGTTGCTACAGCTTCCTCAGCTAGCCCATATTGGCTGTGCATGGCCAAGAAGCTGTAGTCCCTATTGAGGGAGTATGCACATGACGGAGGGGCCAAACCGGAACCGCCCCGAAATAGTGGAGCGTGTGATCACAAGAAGACCAGTCAGATCAAGAGTGGGGTCGATGTGCACTGGGAGAGACGATGCTGGCTTCGGATGAGGGAATGGAGGGCATGCAGGGTGATGTCGCGTGGGAGGATATTGGGTCGCGAGGCAGATTTCGCTTGAGGAGCCTGGGCCTTGACATGGTCAGGGGGAGGCCCGACTTGCGCGATGGAGCGTACAGAGTTGGCATAGAGAGGACCGCAAGGTCGGTAGGGATCTCGTTAAGTCGCTCGCGCCCGGCATGAACATTCGCCCATAAACCCATGGGACTTGAGCGAGAGTCCCAGCTCAGGCAGCCCCAGATCCTTAGTAAGTACTATCAACCCGATTTAGGCTCTCGATCCAACCGCTATTAGCATCGCCTCGTAAATAAGGCCAATAGGACTCGTAAAGCTTCGCTTTAGGGCCGACCGGATCCCTTTCTACTTATTTTTGCCTTGCTCGTACAATACTGTATGTACCTTGGCGGTCACTGTCCGAAGATTAGTGGTCGAAACAGAGGTCCAAGATAAGTACGTGAATCGGGGCAAGAGTCCACGGAGGCCGGGGGATGGCTGTGGTTAGGATGCTGAGGCCCATACCATAACAGGGCTGGTCGCACATACCTTCACCCCAGGGGCCACATTTTAGGTCCCGCAAAAATGGTGGTTGGGGGTCCCTGTAAATGACAAACTCCCTCCCATCAGCATCGGCGGGGCCTACGGCACGACCCGGGAAGGCTGACGCGAGGTGTAAGCTAACCGAATTTGTCGTGCGACAACCTCGTCCACAACTTTTCACTCTGCCACGCTAGTCATTTCACATATATCCATTCCACAACCACTTCTAATAGCTTGCTCTGAGGCTATCTCGACGCGTCATTCATGTGTTTGTCATCCGTATTCGCATTGGTGAGAAGTCCTGCCGGTCCATCGCCACGCCAACTGACTGCACGAGTAGATAAGACAAACTCGAAACCCACCGCCTACATCGACGTGAACTCGGAAGAACTGCGGGACATCTTGCGAATGTTGCTCCAAGAGGTTAATTGGATCAGCCTTGGCGGAGATAAGCCCGCTGTCAGTCCCATTGGTGCAGGTCTTACTGCGTCACTGACCGAAGACAGTTCGAACAAAGCTTGTTGTTTCACTACCTCCCCGAGCTTGAAGCGTATCGCGCCAACAGGAAGAGTGTCCGCGCTTTCGATCTGTTGATTCAAACTCGCCATGGTAGGTACAAATCCACCACCGAGCGTCTCGTTCCACTGTTGACGGAGGGTAAAATTACCTATGATCTGCCTGGGCACTCTTCAAGGCTAATAACCATGTCATTTCGGACTACTCCGGAAGCGGTAAAGCGCAGTGCTTCAGATACGGCATGGGCGAGGAGAAGAAGACAGAGTAAGGTTTGGAATACTTCGAGCTGCAATGCCAGTATCTTGATTTCGACGGTAAGGTGTTCGGTGCTGTATTAACTAAGCTGGCTATCGAGAGATTTCGTAGCGCTAGATAGATCTACACCCTTGATACTTACCCACTCGAGTTTCATCCGGGACGCGAGAACATAAGGAAACGTCTCCGTCAATGTAGTCGAGATTTCGTCGGTCTGATGGGGATCCACTACCCATACTATAACGGCCATGCGTTCTTCTAGCGGGAAGATAGTCTACTTCGAACACCAGTCAAATCCAGGATTATAATCAACGTAGAATAGTTTCGGCGGAATAACCATAGTTACCTAAGGCTCTTCACCAAAAAGTCGTATAGCTACTTCGATACTGCGTCCTTCTTTTCTTCGAGAGAGCAGTCGGATTCTACACGCGTAAAGAACGATAGTCTATATCCAGATGAACTAGGAGAAGTCGACTTTATGATCTGTTCCCCGACCGTGATGGGTTTTAGTCTGGGTGACAAATTTTGGGGTGAGTGACCCCAAGTGATTCTACTACTGAGGGCTAACAGATCCGCCTAGGGAGTATGCCGTGGAAGATATTGAACACGTCCAGTGGTCGAACCAGCTCTTCACCTCTCTCACAATACCTGCTAGAAAGAAAGAGGTAGTCATGGCTGTTGCCCAGAACCGCCTTGGCGAGCCGGGGAGCGGGTCTGTCAGTACGACCAAGGCATTTGACGGTATTGCTGGAGAAAAGGGGCGTGGCATCGATATCCTGCTCTTGTGAGATCTTATCGCCCCAGGCCTTTCCAAGGGATCTAACTCAAGAGTGGTCCGCCGGGAGTGGGAAAGACATTCACAGCGGAAGCGCTCTCTGAACACTTCCACCGACCCCTATATTTAGTATATAAGATTGACGAGCTCAAGGACCAGCTCATGCTGACTTCACAGATTTCGGCCGGCGAATTGTGCTTGGATGCAGCAGAACTGGAATGGCAGCTCGGTCGTATCTTCCAGACCGTAAAAGCGCGGAATGTCCTACTCTTACTGGACGAAGCGGATGTCTTTCTTCAGGCGCGTTTCCAGCTGACTCTCGAACGCAATCGCCTTGTGGCCATCTTTCTTCGAAGGATGGGGTTCTTCAACGGCGTCTTCTTCCTGAGCACCGACCTTACCAACGACTTCGATGGAGCAATTCTAAATAGAATTCACTTGAGGATGAAATACGAAGACCTGGACAAAAAAGCGAGGCAGGTCGTGATTGCCCAATCACTCAAAAAGGTAAGAGAAGGTGGAGGGTCATCGAGCATTAGCATGGAGGACTTGGAGCCTTTCGCTTGCGTCCAGCTCAATGGTCGCGAGGTATGTTTGCCCATCGAAAGAAGGACACGTTCGGTGACGAAGTGTAGATTAGGAATACCATCGCCACGGCGAACGACCTCGCCAGTGGAAAGGGGGATTGTCTGTCCTTTTCGCACATCTCTCATGCTCTGACCGCAAATAGCCATTTCATTCCTGAAGCGAGCCTGATATCAGTGGACGACAGCTTGTACGAGTGAGGTAAGCTCTTCCGAACATTCGGGAAGGTGTGCCGACTGCGCTCCTGGACCTTTGCTCATCGTGGCTACAACCATTTGCAATTAATGGAAATGCCGAGGGCGTCCTTGGCGCGACGTAAATGGGCGACGTTTTTGCGGCTGAGTCCATGGCAGATCAAGGGCTTGGCCCAGATGGGCGGAACACTATGGGTTCGCGCTCTTTCCGTGTGGCAGTCGGCATTTGGATACTGCTTTTATGTGCGCATCTTTGTTCGAACAGAAGAGAAAGATCCCTTGGCCTGTTATCGAAATGATACACTGCCGTCCTCTTTCTTTGGCCAGTTTCAATCCGCGCATTATCGTGTACTTTGTGGCGGGTGTCACCTCCTCTAGTGAACAACTTGTACAATCATCCGGGCTACTGGTTTTTCTGCAATCCCTCAGTCATGCATTCGTGAGAGATGCGTTCTCCTTCTCTGGTGGGAAACAGTTCACGTTAGCGTTCAATGTCTCGAGGCTATTGGCAGAGACTGACCTTCGACACAGGCTTTATCCTGCTCTTTGCGTTTTTTGGCCTCCGATTGTTCCTGACATTTACGTGTATGACGTAGACAAACATCGCTATGAGTCGTTTAGATTTCATATTGTCCTCGTCCGATCTTACTTATTACCTTCGTTGAATGATTGGGCACAAAAATTACATTTGTAGCGAGCATCGTCGCTATCTGGGTCACGGGTCAGTAAGCTGGCTTTCAATCTCAAGGAAAGATCACAAACGTTGCTGGAGATGACGCCGTAGGTGCATACGCCGCTTAAAAGACTTGACGCATAGAGGGCACTGAACTCGTTCCCGTGCTGTGGAAGACCTTGCCTGGATCTGTGATGTAGTATCTGGCGTACCAAGAGGCATCGTCACCAAGCCGTCATCAGGACATCCAAAGGCCAGGTCGTGGTTGAAAAACACCTGACTCCGCTGATCTCCAAGTTAGTCGGCTTTGATGGTCTCGCTTCCCTAAACTATCGTCGTTGGAACATAAAAGGTCTGCTCAGGGGACCAGGTGTCCCCTCCGACATTCCCAAAGTTTTGGTACCAACGACACTTCAAGCCCAAGTCCATTATGTCCAAAATATCTTCACTGATTCCTACGTGTTTTACTCTATACCCAAGAGAGAGCTGAGAAGAAAGATTAAGCTCGACTCCGTAGTTGCCCTGCCCAAACTATTTGCGACTTGTCAGCTTTGAAGGCCCCCTTCTCCCACGAGCGTGAGCCGCCAAGCCACATGAGAGGTCTAGCGGAGGTAGATTATATTTCCAATTTCTATGCTAACATCCCTGTTCGTGGCGAAACAATACATAGCGCCCGAAAGCCGAATCAAGGTTTCGCACTGTCATGAGTTGTCTTCACCGGCTGGAAATGTTGCGGGCTCTAGTATGATGCCACGAGATCATTTATGGGGCAACGTGCGCAACGGAAAAGCTCTCCTTTGCAACCGTAGCATAGATACTCGTCATTTCCATGAAAAGTTCAATTTCTCGCCCTGAACTTTGGCAGTGTTCCATGGTCCCGCTAAGCCTGATAGCATCACGTGATGATGGGTGTGGTGGCAGGCTTCCTGGACGACAGCCGTCTCGGAGTTTCGCATGCGTCGCACATCCCAGCATGACGCCCACCGACCCTCTCAAAATGGCCCCAGACTTTCTGAGACCCTCGAGAAGGTGAAAGCATTTGCACTGCAAACGTCATTCGAGGCTTTTACAACCGAAAAACATGGATTTCAAGTTCCTAGAGTCAAGATCTGCAGTGATGCGGAGGGTTTACAACCATGGGCTGATACTATCAGAGATGAGATTACGAAGAACAGAGGTACAACATTCTGGTCGGTGCGTCAGCTATCAACATGCCCGGGAAAGGGACAAGACAGACAAATATGACAGAGGTAACTGGTCAGGCATCCGACTCCGAACCCTTCCGCGTTTTCCTGCTCGAGTTCAGTCCCCCAACAATGTTTCCTCTTCATCCACATGCCGCCATCGTATTCCCGCTACTCCGTCCGATTTCAGTCAATCAGAAGTTGATGGACGCCGACTCGCATGCCTTCGCCAAAGATTTCTTGATAATCGACCGGGTTCTCAAGTCCAGCCCCGAACGCTTCGTCTGCTTGGTGTCTAGGTGGGAGAAGAAAACCTAAATTGAGCGAATGACCGAGCATCAGTCCGTGTTGCGGTGGGCACACATTTGCAGTCACTGCATTATTCCTTATAATGGGGCCTTGGACGTGGATCCCGAGGAGAACACGACCACACAGGTGGTTAATCACCGCATGCTGCAGATCTCGATGGGCCTTGGCCAATGTAGGAAGTCCAATCTGCTTAAGATGGGCGACCACTGCCGTATCACCGGCACCTTGCTTCGGCACTCTTTGCTCCCAGCTGTGTCGCATTAGCCTGACCCGTTCACACGACTTTACCATAGGGTCACACACAAATTACGGCTCAAGGAGATTCCAAGAACCACGATGGTTTCGAGAGCCACATCTGTATCGATCTGCTTAACCGCGACCCAGCGTCGAACATTTTATTGACCTCGTTCACCAGGATCGCGCGTCGTTCCTCGGCCATAATTTGATATCGTTCCACGGCGGTTGGTAAATACGGGGCCAGGTGCTGAGCGATGATTTCCGTGGGCATGTCCGATTGGCTCTTCACCTCACATAAAGTCACTAATTGGCATCGATGTAGGATAGCCGCTTTGGCATCCGTCTGCTGCAACATCAGGCACTGCCAGGTCATTTGTAATAACGGGTGACAGGACACTGTTTACGGCCCATATTGGATTGAGACGAAATGTTCGGGCTGCTGCACCCAAAGGCTTCGCAAAGTCCAGACTGGTCCATTCATTCACCCTTCTCCAATCCGTGTGACCTTTGTGCGGTCGCGACGATGCGGACACTGCTTTACGAGTCGCTGTGAAATGAAGTTGGTCCTTCAGTACTGGGTTCTTTGCCAGCAGCTGATGAATTTGTTGGAGCTGAACATTCAATTCTTCCGCTGATGGTGGTACTGATTGGTGCATCTTTGGCTGTGGAGGTCAGAGTAGAGGAAGGAACGTGGACCTGAGCGAGGAGGGTTCATATCAAGAAGGCAGCGCGCTAATTTCGCAGGCAGGCTGCGAAATTAGCGCACTATCTTGATACATGTCTCCGTTGGCCCGTCGGCGAGCCGATCCCCAAACCCATGTTTCTCGGGGTCCGCCTCCATAGACCACCAATCCGCAGCTAGGGGATGTTTGCTGCTAGGACACTCACATCCACGCACGACTCAGCAGGAGTCAACCTGCATTTTGCATATATAGTCCATCCGGATCGACCCACACTCTCTGGTCAACCCCAAGGACATTCCTGCGTGGAGATCTCGAAACACCTACCGCTCCGTTGGCCATGGCATGTGCTTGCTCCATCTGTGAAGTCTTCGACACTACTAACGACGAAAGCAAGCTATCCCAGGTATGCTTGAATCGAGATCGAAAAGGTCTGCTGGGCTGACCTGTCGATGCCTGGACCAGGCTGCCAATCAAGCGAAGCTGGATGAGGGACGCCAAAAAATTACACTCGGCCTTCGCCGGCGAGGAAGATCTCACTGACACAGAGGAGATTCAAGTATTCCGAGACCTGATTCGTTTAGCGAAGGAGGATAGATTGCAAGACTTACACCAGATACTTCTCCACCTCTTCAGGCTAAGTGTGAGGTAGGCTCTATAGTGTAAAGGGCGAGAATCCACCTAGTGAGGGCCGGTCGTCGACAAGAAGCTGAAAGGGGAGAGAGGATGGAGGGCCTCTGTCACTTCGGTGTATGGGAGGGGGGAGCTCGCGCTTCGAGCATGGCGGCAACGATAATGAAGAGGACTCTAGAGGGCGGGCAGTCCACGACGGCGAAATTGGATCGAGTAGACCTCTGGATTTCGCTCGAAGAGTAACGTTAAGGGGAACTCGTGTCTCGCAGCATGACAGGTGGCGTGAGGGTCAGCTCAAGTCGGCCCTCTAGGCGAAGCTAGTAGACGGGAGAGAGATGGTGGTCGTGGAGGGACTCATCTAGTCGCAGGTGGAGGTGAAAGTAGTGAGGGTCGGCATCTCTTCTATATACCCTCAGAGGTGGCAGAATTTACGCTGTCCAGATCCGAAAGTAGTAGGTTAAGGGTGCGTAAGAAGCCGCCTTTCCCGTTCAGGTCAAGCGGTACTATGACACTAAGGTCGAAAACGTCGCCCGAGCGGCGCCGCTTTTTAGGACTGTGTAGATGGTAGTTCGGTCTTCCCCTCGGTCCCTTCTGGTGAGATTCACTTTAGTCCTGGGCGCTAATGATTGCCGTACCGTAAGTACGTAGAACGCCGAGCCCGATCGGCGTTGCACGATCCACGCCCAGATGGCACGCCCTTCCGCCCCTGCGGAGGGTGCGTCACGGGTGCGATCTCACCTGGCTCACGGAAGCCTGGGGTTAGTATAGGGCGGCATCACCCTAGTCCCAGAGGAGGCTGAGCGGCGAGCAGTTTTCCTAACCCTTGGCATTAAAAAAAGTTTCGGATGATTGACAACTTGGACATGAACTTCTCGAAATCAATTTGCTTATGGTCATGAAACCAGCGAATATGGCTGGCACGGCAGAAACAAATCAGTGGCAGTCTCCATAATCGAATAATTCCTATTTATCTCACGACTGTGCTCCGGAAAGCACATGTCTACACCAAATATGTCAGTTGGACAATACTCAGCCAAGAGGCGGAAACTCAGCCATGATTCGCAGACAGATGATTTTGACCCTCGCAAAGCCTCTAACATCTCCGATGGCGGTGACGTTGTTCCAGACAACCTCGCAAGGAATGGTCTAGCTTCGAAGACACCGTCTCAGAAACCAACTTCGAAGCCCAGTCAGACGTCTGTATCGAAGACTCCTGTGCTACCGACTGGGGGCATCAATAAGTCGGCCATTCTCGGACTCCAAGTAGCTGATCTGAACGCCGAGGTGACGCCCAACTATGACAAGCTGCGATCTAAATGGACCACTCTCTCAACCAAGTTGGTATCGCTCATCAAAGATATCAAGGACATCCCGCCTGTCACTGCGACGGAGGCCGTAAAGTTGTTGCGCCACCGAGGAATAAATATTCCATTTCCACAGCCACAGCCGTCAAAAGATACAAACTACAAGTTCAGCTTTGTTGCTCCGAAGCAGGTTCTGGTTGGTGGCGCGTTACCATGGAGTCTGAGCCTGAAGGACGAGAACGCCGTGGAGATCACAGCGATTATGCCTGATGGTATCTTACAGGAGAAGGATTATCTCAACTACCGAGCATGCCACAAGGGTGCATTTTACCTCGCTTGTATTGCGTCGGCTATTAAGAAGAGTGAAGAAGTCGACTTCGATATCTCCTTTGCACACAAGCATGATGTCGATCTTTTACCCGTCATTGACCTCGTTGGTAAGGACAGGAAACCATCCAAATTCAAATTCCAGATTGCTGTGGGTTTCAGTGACCCTTCGATACCCATAGCAAAGACGCTGCCTTCGAAGAACTGTCTCAGGCGAGAAATACCGGGCAGTCAAGAACAAAATGGCCAGTCATCTCCATTCTACAACAGTGCAATACGGTACGCTGCATCTGTTCCACACTTTGGCCAAATCATCCAATCGACAAGGAGCTCGTCCTTTGATGAAGCTTGCCGAATTGGCCAACTCTGGCTTCGACAACGAGGTTTTTCCAGCTCCGCTCGGATAGGCGGATTCGGTTTCCTGGAATGGACCATAATATGCGCACTCCTGACGCGCACTGGCGGTCACCGCGGTCACCCACTGTTCTCGAAACAGTACAGCAGCATACAGTTTTTCAAGGTTATGCTCCAGATACTCGGCGGACGAGATCTGCAGGAACCGATGCTTCTCAACGGTGCTAATTTCGATCTTCCGCGCTCGGACGTACCAGTCATCTACGATGGGGAGACCGGTGTCAACATCCTCTACAAGATGTCTCCTTGGTCGTATGAATTAATTCGTCATCACGCTCAAGTGTCCTTGTCGGCACTCAATTCTCGCAATCAGAACGGGTTTGATGCAACCTTTGTGCTGAACGTCGCCGTGCCCTTGCTGCAGTACGACGAGATATATTCTGTCACAGTATCTGCAGATCTAGTCAGAACTGCCACAGATGAACGGAATTTTGTGCAAAGAATGTACAAGATCCTGAAAAAGGGACTGGGTGACAGGACTACTTTGATCGACTTCAAGCTGCCTCAAGAGTCAGGGTGGCCTGTCAACAAGCCCCCATCTCACCGAAAAGAGAAATATGAGTTGCAAGTTGCGTTGCTTGCTAATTCAGAGAATATCAACCGCCTCGTTGACCGCGGCCCATCAGCAGATGAACAGGAAGAAGCTGCCAAATTCCGCGAGTTCTGGGGCGAAAAGGCAGAGTTGCGCCGGTTCAAAGACGGCAGTATATCTGAAAGCCTGGTATGGGCAGGAGACCGGCCAGTAACGTTACAGATCATCGCATATCTCGCAACCTTGCATTTCAAAATGTTGCCGAGCTCGCTCGAAACAAGGAGTCAGAATCTGGAGTCCGGTGTTCTGGGGGACGGCAACTACACTTCAGGCCTCACCCCCAAGGACGCTTTCCGTGTGATCAATTCAACGTTCCAGACCTTGACATCCGGTCTGCATAACCTTGAGGGTCTACCGCTGCCGATTCGCTCAATCTCTCCTGCAGACCCGGCTTTGCGCTCGAGCTCTACGCTTCATCCATTGCTACCATCGATTTCGTCCCCCATCGATATCACTATCCAATTTGACTCTTCCACAAGGTGGCCAGACTTCCTGCCTGCCATCCAACATACGAAAATTGCGTTTCTGCTTAAACTTTCTGAGCTGCTGAGTTCAAACGAGCAAGGCCTCACTACCCGTGTAGGAATCGAGAATACAGACTCGGCCAACACAGGCTATTTCAATACCTCGTTCCTCGACATTATTTATCCTTCTCCAGCTCCTGGTATCAGCCCTGTTTGCTTCCGAGCTCGCATCTACCATGACCGGGAAGCTCACCTCATTCAGACCGCCCTGGCGGATAAATCCCTCCATGGTGCACTTAGAGACTCTCTTGCCACCGCACTAGCCACTTACAAACGCGACTTTCAGGCTAAACCAATACATACGACCACTATTCGCAACCTGATCACCAGATTCCCGCCTTTGTCCAGTACGGTCCGCCTGCTGAAGAAATGGGTCTCATCCCACCTGCTGCTTCACGAACATATCCCCGAGGAAATTCTTGAACTCATCGCCGCGCATATCTTCCTCCAGCCCGCACCGTGGAGTGTCCCCGGGTCTGCAACTGTAGCGTTTCTGCGATGCCTACACTTCCTTGCGAGGTGGGATTGGGCTTATTCACCGTTAATCATTGACATGAGCATCTCACAAGACTCCTTGACCGCGGCGAATGTCACGGAGATCCGGAATCGTTTCGAGGCGTGGAGGAAGTTGGACCCGCAGCTGAACAACGTGGTGTGGTTCGTGGGCACGAATATTGACACGAGCGGGACCGTGTGGACTATCAATGCGCACCCTCCACGGGTCGTTGCCGGTCGATTGACCGCACTGGCGCGCGCAGCGATCGAACTGGTCGAGAGCAAGTCTACAAGCATGACAG